TGCTTGGCTACCTTCTATCCCTAAAGCCCATAGAACTCTCTCTCAGCTCAATACGTGCTTACTTGGCAGCTATCAGCACTGATAGATAACTGCTCCATTTTTGCCCATCCTGTAACGATCCACTTCCACAAATGCTTCTTTCAGACATTTCAACCTGTAAGCAAAATCTGTTCCAATACAGGACACTAATTTCATTTTATCGCTTGGCTACCTTCTATCCCTAAAGCCCATAGAACTCTCTCTCAGCTCAATACGTGCTTACTTGGCAGCTATCAGCACTGATAGATAACTGCTCCATTTTTGCCCATCCTGTAACGATCCACTTCCACAAATGCTTCTTTCAGACATTTCAACCTGTAAGCAAAATCTGTTCCAATACAGGACACTAATTTCATTTTATCCGTGCTCACAAAAGCTCTGTTTGAACCAATGGCAACCTGCTTACTGTGCCATCTCTTCATAAGAGTTGTCTGCCTAATAGTCACTGTGGGAGAACTAAAGGTTCTTATGGCAGATCCATTAGACACAGTTTTACACAAAGAGATCAAGCATCACATTGAGACTGCATCCTAAATTTATACCAAAAGGCATTTTGGACGTTGTCCTCATTCAAACCATTAACTTATCTACCTTCTTTCTAAAACTACACACTTTGAATTAAACTGTCTACATTCCATGGGCATTCACAGAGAGTGACTTTCTGTCTGCAGAGAGAAAAACCATTCAGATAATTACCAAGGCTGTTTGTCTCCTTAGCAGAACAGATGAACTGTCTCATTACAAAAACTCTCTAAGTGGATCTCTGGATGCAGCCAATAATAGCCCACCTCAGGGTGCTCATTCTACCAGAGCCCAGACCGTTTCAATAGCCTCTGTGAAAGATGTTTCCATTGGCAAATGCTACAGAATTGCTACATGAATCTTGCTGCATAACTTTTCCAGAAGTTATGCAATAGGTCAGGCTTCAACAACTGACGCGTGCCTGGGTACCCCTCCATTTGTCTGTTTCGCACTTGTGTTTGCACCCGCTTCCACAATAGATATTGTTCATTGGTCACTCGGAGTGGAACATACACAGGGACCAGTACTTGAAGAAAAAAGGGCCGTGGCTTACTTGTTCTGAAACCGGAGTTCTATGTGATGTGCAGTCCTTATCCATATTGCACTACCTGCCCTCCTTCCTCTCTGCTTGGGATCATGACTTGATTTGCCACAGAGAAGGAACAGGGGATGTGATTGGTTCGTATTGCCCCTTATGCCCTCAGATCAGAGGAGGTGAGTGGCACGGGCATGGACTAATGAACACTGCTGAAAACTGATCTTGGGCACATGATGCGCATGTGTCCCCAGAGTGGAATATAGATAGGCACCATGCACCTTGAAGAACTCTGGCTACAGACCATAAGAACGGCCATACTGGGACATACAAAGGTCCACCTAGCCCAGTATCCTGTCTTCTGATAGTAGCTAGTACCAGATGCCCTATAGGGAATGAACGGAACAAGTAATCATCAAGTGATCCATCCCCTGTTGCCCATTCCCAGCTTCTGACAAAGGCTAGGAACACCATCCCTGCCCATCCTGGATAATAGCCATTGATGAACCTATCCTCCATTAATTTAGCTAGTTCTTTTTTTAACCCCACTATAGTTTTGGCCTTCACGACTTCCTTTGGCAAAGAGTTCCAGAGGTTGGCTGTGCATTGTGTGAAGACAAACTTCCTTTTGTTTGTTTTAAACCTGCTGTCTATTAATTTCATTTGGTGACCCATAGTAGGATGTGTTGGAGTGGGAGAGCAGCTTTGGGATATTGAATTCCATCTTTTAAGAACTATGAGAGAAATCCTGGCTTCATCAAAGTCAATATGAGCTTTGCCGTTGACTTCAATGGGACCAGGAAGGACCAGTTTGTGGAACAGCTTTTAATAGCACCAGCTGGAAAGGGTCCTATTAACTCTGCCCTTCCCTACGCATCAAGATACCAGTGCTTAGCACAGCATCACAGCATTGGTCATAGCTGGGTGCTGTGATCTGGAGCTACCCTTCTTATGTTCTATCCCTTTTGAGTCCTGGCCTCAGAGTGTTTTGGTCTTCTCTTTGGTTTCTCACCTTTGGAGGAAACAAACCAAATTAAGTCCAAAGACCTAAACCAACTGGATTTGATCCTGTCGGTGAGGTTTTTTAGCCAGAAGGTATTGCATTCTTTTCCCTAATCCCAGTTTCCACTTTGCTTTCCTGCACTTTCTCCAGAATTTTCAAAATTGGTTTTGTGCTTTAGGGTAAATGCATCACTTTTCTTTGTACATCCGTGAATCCCGCGGAACAAGGCAGAACATGTCTGCCTTTGAATCTGCTGACTGAACTAATACAAAAATTTGGGTAGGTAAGGGAAAAAATTAGTCATAGGTTTTTCACACTGGAAAGCAGGACATCCTATTGAATCATTGATCTACTGTTGAGTGTTTCCTTTTTAAGCCTGTTCTTGTTGCCTGAGAAGAAATGACTCATAATACATGACATTTGAGAAGAAAGAGAGAGCGAATGCCATATATAGGAGAATAGAGAAAAGTTAAGTGGAAATGTCATTGAAAAGTTCTTTCTTACTATGCACCTGTTCCATAAAACATAGAACTAGGTGCCCTCTGAAGCTGCATGGTTACAAGTTAGTATCAGCCTTGCAGATTTCTGCCAGACCACTTGGGTGATTGAGTGTGTTTTTTTTTTTTTTTAAAATCATTGTACATTGTACTCATGGTTCAGTCAGCAAATCAGATTTTGTGCCTCAGCTGGTAAATTTTCATGACCAATTTGCAAGACTAAGTTATAGAAATCTCATTCAGAGCTGATTATTGTCCATTATTAAGGAGAGAGAGGAAATATTTGAATCATATTTTGCAGTATTAATATGTATTGATTCTAAAGTATCAAGGCTTAATTTTGATTTGGCCTTTCACAGTGAGAAAGGCCTTCATCTTTAAAATCACCCACAGTAGAACATTTTGAGTCTCCAACTAGTATTTATGAAGAAGAGACATACTGTTGCAGAGGTGCCTAGTGATAACTCTGACCTCAAGTGTCAATTTTCTCAAATGGTACCCTTCATATAATGGCAGTAATAGCTAGATTTTAGCTTTCGCTTTTGCACTTAGACAGTATAATTTGATTTCAGCATTTGCAGAGGCAGATTTTTTTTTCTTCTTCCAGTTAAAGCAAGTGCTTTTGATTTTTTTTTTTAAAATAAATACAGGTTAAATCTCTATAGTCTGGACTTCCCTTGTCTGGGAACATCCATGGTCTGACATCCCCATAGGTACCCCTGGGCTGAAGCATTCTCAGGGAAAAGCCAGGTCCTGTGCTTAGCAACTCCTTCTCTACCCTCCAAGAGCTTCCAGAGCATGGCAAATAGTTCATTTGCGGCACTCAAGCTCAAGGAGGGAGTTGGAGGAGTGGGGATGAGGGAGATGCTTGGGGGAAGAGGTAAGGTGTCTACACAGCCCAGTAGCCACGGACCAGGAAAACAGCTCTGTGGCCAACAGTGGGGGCCAGAAGTGCAGCCTGGTGGCCATGGGGCTTAGTGCATTCCCACTGGGCTGTTCTCCTGGCCCCCAACCACTGGGTTCTGCAGCCACCCTGCCTCTTGCCCTGAGGTCCCTCCCTCCCCCCGCCCGACTCCTACTTGGTCAATGCTGGCACCTCTGCTGCTGCCAGAGCAGAGCCCTGCAGCTGGAGGCAGCAGAGAGCTGGCGTTGACCTTCCTTTGTCTGACAAATTCCCTGGTTCGGGACTGGTCAGGTCCCAAGGGTGACAGACCAGGCAGGTACAACCTATATTAGATGTTGAAATTTAGTGTGCTCTTTCTTTCTGCCTGCCTGCCACCCACCCACCCACCAATGGCTTTGTATGTGAGCAAACAGCAGCACTCATGTAAATGCAACTTGGGAACTAATACTTGTAAACTTCTGTGTGGAGCCTTCCTTTTTTTTTTTTTTTTTGGTAGTGGCACAGTGGATTTTCTCCCCCTCTCTGCAAATAAAAGCTAGTTATGATCCAGAGAACATACCCCCACTAGATTATAAAAACATTGCAGTACATTTTGCTTGAGGCCTAGCTTCCTTGTAACGGTTGCTTTACAGGCGTAAAGCTTATACGATCACATCCTGCTTCCATCCTCAGAGGGTTCTGGGCACACTATATGCAGCAGAACCAATAAGATTCTGCTGCATGAGCTGAAGCAAGATCCTGAGAGGTTGCACCTAGCACACGTTATCCAGCTGTGCTCAGTAACTCCTCTTCTACCCTGCCAGGGCTTCCAGAGCACGGCAAATAGTTCATTTGCGGCACTCAAGCTCAGGGAGGGAGGGGAAGGAGTGGGGATGGGGGAGATGTACTGTACTGTACAAGAGCACTAGGAGAGGAGCAGAGTTGGGGTTGAAACTACCAGCCATTCTACTCTGTGGAAGAAGACTGTGAAGCCCAAAGGGCTCAGTCATGAGCTGATCCACATGTGAGGATTTCTGGCCCCTGAGTCCATGCATAACACCCAGAGTTTGCCACTCGGTGTACACTGGGAAATTATATCAGCATAGCCATGTTTCTTGAGAGTCTATAAAATAAACTACTGACCTAGCCCCTGATACAGACAGTGCAAGTTTGACAGAATTTTGTGCTAGGTTGACAGAATTTTTTGTCAACCTAGGTACTGCATCTTGGAGAAGTGGGTTACTTACGCTAATAGAAGAACCCCTCCCATCAGCATAGGTAGTATCCATGCTAAAGCAGTATACAGTGGCTGCAGCAGTGCCACAATAATGTTTGGTTAAACAAGCCTTTAGTGTACTTTTATTCCCTTAAGTAGAAGAGTAAAGCAAAAATGGATGCAGGTCTTTTTATACAGGAGGGGAAATTATTCTCCTTGGCCATAAACTACTTTCAGAATGTTTGTGTCTATTCAGACAAGAAATCCAACACATTAACTGTAGGTGTGCTTATTCACCGACAGACACCCCCTAGATATGTGATACTGTGTCAATACCATGCACTGGTTGTGCTTTTACAGTTGGCTACAATGCAGAATGCACAATTGCCCTTAGATTGTCCCCTCTCTTCAGTGTTGATTACAATGAATAATGTGCAGAGATTAAAAATAGGACCTACAGTACTGGGTTAAAATTAAAGTTTAAAAAAAATGGACCCCAGACTTGATTTAATATTGTCTTTTTGCAGGCTTGGAGGGGAAATGAACAGGAAGATTGGGTCCCTCGTACTTACCAGGATTTAGAAGGCCTGCCTTGCATTGTTATCCTCACTGGCAAGGACACTCTAGGAGAAACTTTCCCTAGGTACCATTTGAATTGATGTGCAATGAAAATGTCTGAAGAACAATGAAAATGTTTGTAAGAACAAATGTACAACTTTCAGTTGATTGGAAATAACAATTTGGAAATAACTGATTGGAAATAACAATTTTGCTGTTAATGTTGCATGAAAGTTGCTGTTTTAAAAGGCTTCCTTTTTGGTAAAGATTTTTCTTGGTGAAAAAAAATTGGTTTCTGAAAGATGAAGAACTAGTTTGGGGAGGGTGTCTGTATTGCATAATTAACTGAACAACTATACAAAGTACCAAGGAACACAGCTCATGTGCGGAGTATTTTAAACTAATTAGATTTCCAGTGATTAATGGACTCCAAACAGATTGTATATAAGCTATTTAATGCTGAGAGTGACTCTCTAAAGGCCAGAAAATATAAAACATCCTCTTTTTTGGGTTTGTTTCTCTAGGTCATTGAAATACTGTGACCTCCGACTAATTGACTCAAGCTATTTAACTCGCACTGCCTTAGAGCAAGAAGTAGGTCTGGCATGCTGCTATGTTTCAAAGGAGGCAATTCGAGGGTCTATTGTAGCTCTTGACCTGAGTGAGAAGGAGCATGAGAAGGTTAACATTAGTGAGAATGACTCTGATGAACTGCTGATAGACTTGGAGAGACCTCAGAGTAACAGCAGTGTGGTCACTGGAACCTCAGGTCAGTTATTGCTTTTACATTTGCTCTGGAGAGTAATGCTTGAATCACATTTTTAAAAAATGAGAACAGCATTGAGTAAAATGTCAGCGATTAGCTGTGTTTGATTTCAGATTAGAAAATAAAAAAGTCATTTGCAGCATCTTATCAGTCTAACTATCTCATGCCAAAGTGCACGTTTCACGCTGTATTCTTTTGACAAGGGTGAGGGGAAGGGACTAGGTTGGGAAGTTAAGCTAATGTAGCCTTGTGGCTCATTTGTGATTATTTTAAATATAATTTTACTTAATGTTGCCACACCTTCAGTTTTTGGGGGATCTGAAGATCTTATATATTCAAATACATAAATAAAATAACCAGTGTGGACATAGCTGTGTGCTACAAAGGAAAGGTGTTTGCTTGTTTAGAGCATCAGAACATTTAGAACTGGTCCTGAATAAAGGCAGAAAGTACAGGGATCCATCTTACATTTTTTATGATGGATATGTGATACTGTGTGTAAACCCTGCACTGACAGGCAAAGGAGTAGGCAGGCTCTGTGCTAGGGTAACCCTCCCCTGCCAGTCATGCATGGTAGGGAGCAAGGCTTTAAAAGGAGGAATGTGCAGTCAGCAAGAGGGAAGCCATGAGAAGGGAATGGCTCCTGAAGCAGGAGGAGGAACACCTATGCCAGAGACACCTCTCCTCCCCCACGCCAGATCTGTGAGGAGTCCAGCAAACCCAGAGGTAAACTCGGTAGGGAGAGACTGACCTGGCTACCTGCTTCAAGTAAAGCTGCTACCTAGCCACCCCTGACCTTTTTTGATCCCACTTGAAACTTGTTCGGAGTCTGAACTTTTGCTCCCCTCCACCCCAACAAAATAAGTAAGAGTTATGCCCACTGCAAGGACTAAGAGGCTCTGGCCTGAGCTGGGTCAGCTCTGTGGAGGTAACTGGGTGTGGAAAGAGGACTGGACCCAGCTTGGAGAGGCACCACAGAGAGACTCTTTTTATAGGGTGAAATCTAGACACTTTTCCCCCAGGCAAAATCTCAGCTCTCCCTACTGTGTCCTTCTTTTCTGCCTTTAGTCAATTGAGTAGAGCCTTTGCCACCTACTGAGTCTCCCTCACATACGATAACTTGAAGGCTGTCTTTCTATGACAGGGTGTACCAGCCCTATGCTGAGCCACCATGGGCAGGCCAAGTAATGTGTGTTCAGGAGGCCACACCCCTTCTTATCCACTGTGTGTGCTGTATGTGGAGAACTCAGATAAAAGAAGGCAGCCCCAGGCAGTTAATTGGAGAGGGACATGGAAGAGGAAGAGAGTACACAGCTAGCTCTTGCTGAAGTACCTACAACACCCCTGGTGGCAAAGCTCAGGTATCTGGGCTAGCCACTGGCTGTGGAAACCACTGTGGAAACTGAGCCACAACTGTTGAGGGAGCTGCCTGACCTACGTCCCAGCCGAGAAAGTCACGAGGCCTGTAGACTGGCTGTTCACTTGCCTTATCGTCACCTTGATAAGGGGGCTAATTCCCCAAGACTGCTAGTTTGTTTTGGTGCCCCAGCCTGCAGGCCACAGGACTGTAGCTACTTGCTTACTTTGCCCCGTCCTGGGGGCTGCAGCTTGATTGCCGCAAATAACTATCACCTGCCCCATCAGGAGGCTGCAAGGTCATGGACTGATTGTTTTGTGGCTCGGAATCCACAGATCACCCATTTAGGTGACCCTGTTCGGGGGCCACACCACCCTTGGCAGAAATCACTCACTTATCAGGGTAGCCCGATGACGGGGTGGCAGAGAAAGCCACCTCTATACTGGTCTGGGCTCCCCAGCTGAACCAGCACGGCCCTGTCTGTCACAGTTGCTTTTTCTAGTCCCTAAATGTGAGCATGGCCCATAGGAGGCAATGTACGCTGGGGTTCAGAAGACAGTACTACTGATACCTTTTAATTTGGTAGAATGGTTTTTCCCCCGGGGATATGGTGATGAAGAGAAATAGGTCCAGATCCATCAATCAATGCATAACCCGTAATTCTGTTGACTTCAGTAGAATTACATGAATGCCAACCAATTGATGATTTCTAGGCACCATAGCGGACAGCAAATGGAGTCATTCTTAGTTGTATTTACTGAGCAGTCTCAATGAGAGTTTGTTTGTTATTTCTTGCTTCATTCCACCAGGTTCAATAGCTGAAAATGGCGTGAGCTCCTCCAGTGCCGCAGACAAATCTCAGAAGCCACCAGCATCCCTTAACTTTCAGAACGTGGCGGTTAGTTCAGTTGCTGAAGGTACTTATCCAAGATTCACTGCTGGAGAGACCTTGAAGCAAGAATGTGACTCTTTGGGCAACCAGATGGCAAGCAGCACCACTTCTAAATTATCCTCTTCTTCTGTAGCCCGGACATTCCGGTGGCCCAGCCAGTCTGTCAAGGAGTGCAAGATCCTGCGGGCAGCACTGCCACGCATTGTCATCTTGTCTAAAGCTGCCTATTGTCTCCTTGGCTCACAGAAAAGTGGGCACTTGCCTTCCTCATCTTCTCTTTTGCCTCATGCCGATGTGTCTTGGCTGAGCTCTTTGAGACCTTTCCTTCACAAAGACATGAACGGTGAGGAGCAGTCTCTTTACTACAGGCAGTGGACCACAGCCAGGCAACACCATGCAGATTACAACAATCAGAGCGAAACTGCTAGCTCTAGAAGTTATCACCCACGACGTCTGCTTCTGACAGGACCCCCGCAAGTAAGAGAGTTGTCCCCATCTTGGGTAATTGTATCAGTATAGAGTTTTTAGGGAAAACAAAAAGGGCTAGTGTTAGCTAAAAACTGAGGACACTGTTTTAATCTTTAAAAGTCCATGCAGCAATAGCTCCTGAGAGTGCTTTTTGGAGAATGTATTTGGAATTGTCAAAGATGCTTTCATATCTGCTCAGAAGCCATGGCTGGCATGAAACGATCTTAACCACTTCTCAATGTGATCTTTTTAACTGCTATCCCATTTTTAATCAATGGGATTGCACCAGTGCAAATGAGAGCAGAATTTGTATCTAAGTTCCTGTTTGGCAGTGTCTGGTCACAGGGCCAGGGCTCAACAGGGTTGTGGATTTGCTTCAAGACAGAATTGATTAGGGATAGATAATTGCTTTTATTAATCTCACTACATCACTGCTATTACAGGCTTAACACTGCCAGATGGTTACACAGCTACTGCAAAGGAATACAAATAAGCATAGGCAGACAATGCATATAAGAGTAACAGGCACTTGGAAATGCTTACGCCCATTTAGTCTGTTGAGAGTTCTGTTCCGGTCACCTCACACCAGGCTTCAGTGGACGTGGCTCCTGCTGAGAGATCTAGTACAGTCTCCAAAGTCGAGGTCCCTGGTGGGAACTCCTAGCAGGGTAGGATTCCCAGTGATCTTAAACCTTAGCTGTTAACTTACTGAGTGTGCACGAGTTGGTCCAATGCCACTCTCAACGTTCCCACGGGGCTGAGAGCCGAGGTCATATTCTTTATCCCATACTCTATTGTCAGCTAGCAAGCAAGGGGAGTTGGAGCTGTTGAAGGCCGTCTGATAAAGAACACCTGGTGTTTTCACCAGCCGGGCTCATAGCTGGCCTAGAGGAATACAAATTTAACCCCTGCAGGCTTACATATGGCTTTTTTTGTGACAGGCAGTGTCTTATTCAAATTGTCCTAGCACTGGAATAGCCATATAAGAGAAGAAAAGCCCAATGTATCTGTTTCAAATGTAGCCCTCCTTTAATGCTAAATTTTCTGTTTATTGTTGTTGTTTTTTGTTGTAGGTGGGAAAAACTGGGTCTTACTTGCAATTCCTTAGGATTCTCTTTCGCATGCTGATCAGATTGCTGGAGGTAGATGTGTATGATGAAGAAGAAATTAATACTAGTAAGTACTAGTTCTCAGAACCTCGTGTGCAGAAATTTTCTTCAGTAAAATAGAATGGCACTACTATAAGTTGGATGCATAACTGGTTGGTTTGTCTACTCTAACCTGCTCTTTCAAAAGTCTAAAAGGGGTAGCTGTATTAGTCTGTAACTTTAAAAACAAGCATCTTAGGAGCTAACAAATACATAGGACCATGAGCTTTTGTGAGTAAAACCCACTTCATCAGATGAGTTAGAGTGGAAATTACAGAATCCAAGGTATATATAACAGCAAAAGCAATTATCTGTCAATTGTAGGACCCGTGTTAAATCTAGTGACAGAGAGTCCACAACCTCCCTAGGCAATTTATTCCAGTGCTTATCTACTTTGATAGGATTTTTTCCCCTGATGGTCAATCTAAACCACCCTTGCTGCAATTAAAACCCATTGCTTCTTATCCTATCCTCAGAGGTTAAAGAGAACAATTTTCTCGCTCTTTCTTTACTTCTGGGGGAATTCTGTGTCCCTGCATCTGTTCAGAATTCATGTCTCCCTCTTCCTCCCAGATTTCTTTGCTTCCCTGCAGAAAATGACTTTTGGACAGGGAGCAGAGGGAAGATGTAAGAGCTGTCATACACCACTCCTTAGAAGTGCAGGTACATCATTTCAAACATCCATAGCAGCTGGCATAGTGGTAAATCACTGGGCTGAAGACACCTAAGCCAGTGACTCATACCCTGAGCTGGGATCAGCTGTTAGTCCCAACTGGGCTAGAGGTAGGAGAGGACAGAATTTCCTCTTCCCCTGCAAGGAGTGGCTGGGGCTCTGTCCGACTCCCCTCAGACCTATCCCAGCCTTGATTTCAAAATCTAGATGCCATAGGGACAGGTACTTAGAAAGTCTGGTGAGTGAAAGGACAGACTCTGAGATTCAAACCCAGGCCCATTTTCTATGTGCTGGGTCCAATGTCTGGGCAATTGGTGTGTGCCTGTCAGGGTGCAGAGCAAGACGATGGTGGGGGGAAGAGGCAGCACCAGAGTGGTAGGGTGGGAAGCTTGCACAGGACCTGCACATGCTCTATTCAGCTCCAGCCAGAACTATTGCCTTTCCCATGTGTAAGGAATGAATTTCCACACATTCGTAGGGAAGACAAAACACAACATCCCATTCTGGATAGCAGTACTTGAACGTCTACGGTACCTTCCATTGAGGAGCTTCAGATTTGTGAAGCCCTGTGTTCAATACTGTATCGTATTGTGCTAAAAATCAGAGAATTCCAATTTTTTCTTTGACAGTTTCTTGTTTGTGTAGATAGTTCTCTATTGTGGTAGTTACTAGTAGATTTAGTACTCTGGTCTTCTTGGAGACTTCTGCCTGAATCGGGTCTTGCCCAAGTCTCTGGGCTTCAAACCTTGTGATACCTGCAAATGGCCCATCCTAGTCAATGACCCACACAGGAATTGCATGCAGTGTCTGGGTGAAGCTCATATCAGAGATTCACTCAGACACTGCATGCAATTCCTGTGCAAGATTTGCAAATCCTTCAGACCAAGGACCAAAAAAGAGCGGGATGTTCGGCTGCGTGCTTCCTTATGGAATCAGTCTTGACTCCAGCACTGGCACACCGATCTGACTCAGCACCAAGGCCTCCATGCTCAGTGCTCCTGCAGTACTGTCTATCAGCCAGCACCACTCTTAGGCACTAGCAAGAAGCTGAAGAAGACAGTATGAGGTGGTTCACCCCCATCCCATAAACAGCAAAATAAAGTCTACAGAGGCTCATAGACCCATGTTGGGCAGCTCTCAGGGCTTTTCTGGCTCACAGGGCCAAGGTCAATGGAGCAGCTCAATCCATTCTGTGCTGGCCTTGAGCAGGACCCTTAGCCACATTTAGGTGTCCTCCATGCTGGAGGCCTTGCAGCCAGTGCAAGAGATACTAACTCTGTCAGTGCTAGCCACCCACACTCCCATGACTCCCCAGTCATGCAGCAAGCCTGTGCTCAGTCCCACTGGGTCTCCATCCCCAGAGCAGGACTCCATTCAGAAGCTCTCCTTTTGCCTGCCTCAGCCAGCCTCACCGCCTGGACCCTGTAGGGCAAGCAGGCTATCAAGCGCCCACTTTCATGAAATGAGCAACTTCACCAGTCTGCACAGTCAATCCAGATCTTCTGCACTCCCCTCCAACTGCCTTTCTGTTTTTTCCCCAACATTGGCATTGATAACTTTGGGCTGCCTTAGTCCTCAGTATTGTCTCCCAGGACTGTGCCCTCCAGTTGCTTCCTACCCCCTAACTGCCCTTCTTCCCCATCGCTCTTCAGGGACCTCTCTCATGAGTATTTTCTTGAACAAGAGGTGCAACAGCTCGTACAGCTGCAAGTAGTGAAGGGGTCTCTGTGGATCATAGAAACAGGGGCTTCCATTCACATTATGTCCTTATTCCCAAGATAAAGGGAAGCCTTAGGTCCATTCTGGACCTGTGAGACTTAACCCATTTCCTAGCATGACTAAAGTTTCATATGGTCGCTCAGGCTTCAGTCATCCCCTCTCTGGATCCCGGAGGCTGATACTTTGTTTTTGATCTTCAGGATGCATACTTCCATATTCCCTTCTTTGCGGACCATAGGCATTTCCTCCATTTCATGGTAGATCAAGAGCCCTGCTGATTTGCAGTCCTCCCATTTGGCCTGTCGACACCGCCCCTGATTTTCATCAAATGCATGTCGGTGGTGGCAGGTTACCTCAGGCATCAGGATTTCCAGATCTTCCCAGACTTTGATGATTGGCCGTTCCATACTTCCATATTCCCTTCTTTGCGGACCATAGGCATTTCCTCCATTTCATGGTAGATCAAGAGCCCTGCTGATTTGCAGTCCTCCCATTTGGCCTGTCGACACCGCCCCTGATTTTCATCAAATGCATGTCGGTGGTGGCAGGTTACCTCAGGCATCAGGATTTCCAGATCTTCCCAGACTTTGATGATTGGCCGTTCAAGGGCAGCTTCAAGTCCCAGGTGCAGAGTCACATGACATTCCTGCTGTCCGTGTACCATGCTCTAGGCCTGTTGACAAATGACAAGAAATCCATGTTAATACTGATACAGAAGATGGAATAATTGGGATGGTACTCTACTCTGTAACTGCCAGGGTGTTCCTTCCCGTGGAACAGTTCAGAGCCCTAACAGACTTAATTGGGGAGGTCTCCAGGTTCCTCATGATGACAGCCACAATGTGCCTTCTTCTCTTTGGGCACACGGTATCATTCATTTATATTGTACGATATGCCAGACTTCATATGTGTCTTCTGCAGACGTGGCTGGCCTCGTCTTCTCCCATTCGAGAGATTATTTGGACAAGGTTCTCACCATTCCCAAGACTGTACTTGCCTCTCTTCAATGATGGGTTGATCTGATGAACGCCCTTCAAAGAGTCCTATTCCAGGGTCGTCATCCTACACTGAGCTAGTGTTGGATGCACTGGATCTCAGCGGGGGGTGCTCATCTCGGAGATGTCAAGACCCAAGGCCTGTGGTGTCCAGAAGAAATGACATTGCACATAAATGTCAAGGAACTGAGGGCAGTCCATCTTGCGTGCACGGACTAACAGTCTCGTCTGGAAGACAGTGTTGTCAGAGTCCTCGCAGACAACACAACCTGGATGTTCTACATCAACCGGAGGGGAGAGACCCTTTCTTCAGCCCTCTTCCTGGAGGCTTTCAAGTTGTGGGACTTTTGTATCAGTCATGACATCGACCTAGAAATTTGCCACCTCCTGAGTGCCCAGAACTCTCTCTGGGTCACTTGAGCCGACATTTCTTGTCTCACAATGAGTGGACACTGCACGCGGAGGTGGCCCATATGATCTTCCAGAAGTAGGGCACTCCCTGAGTGGATCTATTTGCAACCAGGCAGAACTGCTGATGTCCCCAGTTCTGGTCCAGGTGGGATCGAGTGAGGAAAGACGCCTTCGCATATTAGTTTGAGACAGGCCCTGGCCTTTTACCTAGACTAGACTAAGCCATCCAGGAAATCTATGCAACTGTTCCTCTCTAAGGCAGAGCGGATGAGGGACCAGCCTGTTTCCACCCATAGAATTTTAAGCTGGATTACCTCATGCATCTGCACCGGCTGTGATCTAGTGGGGATTCTCCTACTGCTGATTATGGGAGCTCATTCAACTGGGGCACAGTCCTCTTCAGCAACGGTCCAGGACATTTGCCAGGCAGCTACATGGTCATTGGCTCACACCTTCACTGCCATCACCCGCACCACAGGTGCTCCCCTATGGAAACGGTTCTCAAACTACGCTCCATGCAAGTGGGGTGCGGCTCGAGCTCAGCCCCCTTCACCTACAGCGGGAAGCCCATGGTGGTGCTCCAACCTCAGAGCCCCCCGGCAAGAGGTTGGAGCGCCAGTGCAGGCTTTCTGCTGTGGAGAGTTGAGGGTGGGAGGGAGAAAGCCCCGAGCCTTGCTGCTGGATCCAGTTCATGGGGAGAGCAAGTGGCTCTGTGCACTGCCACTTTTCCTCCCCCCCGGCTGGGGGAACAGCAGCGCATGGATGGCTTTCCCTGCTGTTTCCATTAGCCAGAGTCATGGGCAATGGGAGCAGTGGGAGGCCATGGACACCGGGCAGTGGTGGGGAGAGTGAAACCAGCTTAGCTCCCCCATTTTCTTCATGCCCAGACCCAGAACCTCCATCCCTGGTGAACACATCCCCACTGAGACACTGCAGCCTTTCCCCAGCCGAGCCCCCCACTGTCAGCTGCTCCTATGCCCAACCTCCCTCCCAGACCCCATTCCTGCACCCTACCTCCTGGCCAAACCCTGTACCCTCAGCCCACTTCTGCACTCATTTTGTCGTTGTGGTTGGCTGATGGTATGTGGAAAGGTTTGTATTGAGGGGGGTGTGCCACAGGTCAAAAAGTTTAAGAACCACTGCCCTAATGGGTGCTGTCAGGGAAAAACTTCTAGCACCAGTGTACGTGGCAAGCAGGCACGCTTAATGTAGAATGCATAAGAGGGATACATCTCAAAGAACCCCAGTTACAGAAAAAGGTAAGCATCTTTTCTGTCCATTTACTGGGTCTCTAGCAGTTCAATCTATCATAAAAGTACTTCACATTTGATTTCTCTTGGGTTTCATTCCAAAAATTTAAAACTGAATAAACCTGAAGTTAGTCCTCGTTTTTTCTGCCCCAGCTCAAAACTTAAGACTGTGTGTACACGGCCATTTTCAGCACTAAAACTTCAGTCATTCGGGGTATGAAAAAAACCACCTTTCCGAGTGATAAATGTTTTAGTGTTGAAAAGTGCCAGCATGATTCCCAGTGATAAAGCTACCAATGCTTATTCGGAGTGGGTTTTTTTTATCACTGAGAGAGCTCTCCCCCAGGGATAAAGCGTGAATACACTGCCCATGTCCCAGTGATGTTTCGGTTCAATGGGAAAACAGTGATTCATTTTCCTCAGCCAGTGCAACGCTGGGAGGCAGCTTTTAGAGCAAGACAGCCTACAATACAATAATTTTCCCACTATTACTTCCTCTACTTCGGTGGCTTTTACACCAGAGTGGTTTTTTTACATAATAAAAACTGACTGCCTCCCAGACTGCAGTCAAGAGTGGAACAGGGAGAGTGCTGTAGAGTCCATAGCTGGGGGAAACACCTGCAGACGGGCTTGGCTTTGCACTGTGCCATGTGAAGAGCTGAGGATAGAAATACAAGGTTGAAAGAGGTGAGCAGGATGGGGAATGTTGCAATATTCATCCTCTGACAGCCGAGCACTTCATTGCCTAGGACAGTGGTCACCAACCAGAAGATTGGGATCTACTGGTAGATCTTTGAGCCTCTGAAAGGTGATCCTGACTGGTTTGGCCAAGTGGCTATCAAGGGCCGGAAGGTCAGCTGTTCCTCCCCCCACTGCTGTGCATCTCCTGCCCTTTGCGTTGGAGCTGTCCCCTCAGGAGCCCCCTGCTTGCTATGCAGGATGGGGAGGGAGATGAGGGGTGCTGATGTCAAGGTGCCCCCTCTCCCATCCAGTATCCTATCTCCACAGAGCAGAGAAGGGACACAACAGGACTTGGGATGGAGTTTTCTGGATGCTTTTGAGAGTGGTGCACGCCGGATGTCTTAGAGGCAGCGAGGATCCTCATTGACTCCTCTTCCTTTCCTCATCTCACCCTGACACCCTCCAGGTGGCACGAGGAGAATTGGCACCGACCCCCTTCCAGGGCATCTGAAGGTCCGGTGCAGGAGGTTGGAGGCCAGCAACCACCTCTACTGATCCCAGCGGCACCGCTCACAGCACCTGCCACCGGGACATCCTTACCCTCGCTGCCAGCCCAGGACATGGCACCGGACTTGGCGTGGCACCATCATTCGGCACCGCTACCAGTCCAGGTGGCCCTGGCACCTACCTCTGCATGGGACGCCCGCACCACCATGCCACCACCTCCGCGTCGGCACTGCAGCAAGCCGGAATCCATGGCAAGACAGGTGATAGCTTCATCAGCAACTGCGTCAGCTCCACCTTGGTCTGCCTCGGAGTATTCGTCTGACTCTGAGGCGGAATCACCTGGTCCTCAAGGGGTTCCTGGTCCCATTTGCGGCAACGCTTCCGCTCTTGGCACCGTTCCTGGCACCGCCACCCTCCTCACCTATATCAACAACAGTGGGCACAGCCTGTTCCGGTGCCAATGTTTCAGCAAACATGGTCCCCACAACTTCTGGGCCAGTGGCCATTCTGGACACCCTGGGCGTACCACCAAAGCCAGGGCGTAGATCCACCCAGGCCAGATTCCATCTCCTCAGGCTCATGAGCTCCTCCTTCGGCAACACCTCTGGTCCCCTACTTTTGGCCAGACGCTACCTCCTGGTCGGTTGTCTCCAGGCTCCGGGGGGAGCACAGCTCCGGTGAGCCAACCTTCCCTTTCCTCTTCCCTGGGTTCCTCACACTTGTACGCCCCTGTAGGAGAGGTCCAGAAGGGGTCGTTGTCCTCTTCTCCGTACGATGCTTTAAGCGATTCCACACCACCCGTGCCCTTCATGGATGCTAGGGTCCACCAGGACCTTCTCTGCTGCCTGGCCCAAAGTCTGGGGGTCCAGGTGGAGAAGGTGTCCAAAGACTTGGACCCTATAGTAGACATCCTGCACTCTGATGCTCCTTCCAGAGTGGCTCTTCCAGTTAATAAAACTGTAGCCAAAAATTTTAAGGCCTTGTGGCAAACCCCTGCATCTATCCCCCCGACTGATAAGTGAACCGAAAGGAGGTACTTTGTTCCCCAAGAGGGCAATGAGCACCTGTTTTCTCACCCTCCCCCGGGCTCCCTTGTGGTACAAGCCATCAACCACAGGGAAAGACAAGGCCAGCCTGGTGCCACCCCTAAGAACAGGGAGGCCAAGAAGACTGACCTGCTAGGCAGGAAAGTCTACGCATCCGGGGGTATCCAGTACCGCATTGCCAATCAGCAGGTCCTCTTGTTACATTACGCCTATAATACCTGGGCGTCCATGGACAAGTTCACGGACCTCCTCCGCAGGGACTCCCACTCAGAGTATAAGGCTCTCCACGAGGAGGGGAGAGCGATCTCCCGAGCAGCACTCCAGGCAGCTCTCGATGTGGCGGATGCCGTTGCCCGGGTGATGGCCACAGGTGTGATCCTACACCATAGTTCCTGGCTCCAGGGTTCTGGGGTTCCCCCAGAGTTCCAAAACACCCTCCAAGACCTCCCATTAAAGGGCCCTTTGCTCTTCTCTGTGCAGACCGATCAGAGGCTTCATGGCCTCAAGCATACCCGGGCTACCCTAAAATCCTTGGGCATGCACACTCCTGCTATCCAGAGGCGCACTTTCGCAAATAGGAATATTTCTAGAGCGCCCCCTCAGGCTCCACATCCTGATTTCTCCCATCGTAGGAGCAGGAGTGGTAATGGCAGGAACAACAGGCGCCGACCACGCCCGGCTCCAGGCAACAACCAGGAGCCCCACAACAACCCCCCAGACTCCCATTAGGGGTTTTGATGGGACCCCGAAGGGCTTTTTTCCCAGTCTCCCCACTAACTTTCTGGGACCGTTTATCCCTCTTCCTCCAAGCCTGGCAGTCTGTTATGTCGGACCAATGGGTGCTGGAGATAGTGGAAAGGGGTTATGTAATCCCTTTCCTCTCGCCCGCTCCTTCACAGCCCTCTACCCAGTTGCTTTTCAGGGACCCCTCTCATGAGCCTCTGCTTCAAGAGGAAGTCCAACATCTCCTTACGATAGGGGTGGTAGAGTATGTTCCCCCTGAGTTTCGGGGGAGGGGGTTCTATTCCTGTTACTTTCTGGCCCCAAAGGCCAAAGGGGGCCTCCGTCCCATCCTAGACCTCAGAGCTCTCAACTCCTTCATCGCTAAAGCAAAATTCAAAATGGTAACATTGGCATCGTCCTTAATTCCCTCGTTAGCCCCCAGAGACTGGTACGCTGCCCTTGACTTAAAAGATGCTTACTTTCACATTTCAGTCGCCTCCCACCACCGCAGATTCCTCCAATTTACTGTAGGCCCGGACCACTACGAATTCACGGCTCTCCCCTTCGGTATTTCTATGGCCCCTCGGGTCTTCACCAAATGCATGGCGGTGGTGGCCGCCATGCTCAGGAAAAGGGGCATCCCGGTGTTCCCTTACCTAGACGACTGGCTCCTGAGGCGGGACTTGGAGACTCAGGTGAGAGCTGACATCACCATAGTCCGCATACTCTTCGGCGACTTAGGCCTCCTGGTAAATCTGGACAAATCAACTCTAACTCCCACCCCAATAATAGAGCTTGTGGGTGCCAACCTGGACTTTCTACCCAGCAAGAGCCTCTCTACCCAGCGCACAATAGAGACGGCAGTCAGGGAGCTCCAGAATTTTCCAGTGACTACCGCCCAGACTTGCATGCGTCTCCTGGGCCTCATGGCCGCCTGCAGCATGCCAGACTGCGTGTGTGTCCACTGCAGATGTGGCACTCGTGAGTCCACAACCTGGCCGTCCACTCTTGGGACAGAGTGGTGATGGTTCCTGCACCCGTTCTCTTTGCATTGGACTGGTGGACCCACCAGGTGGAAGTCTACGCGAGGGTCCCATTCTCCAGACCAGTACTGTCCACTCGCCTTGTCAGGGACGCATTGGCCACCAACGTGGGAGCCCATTTAGGAGACCTACACATGCAAGGTATGTGGTCTGCGGACGAAATCTCCCTGCATATCAACATCAGGGAGCTCCGGGCAGTCCGACTGGCTTGTGTGGTTTTCCTTCTCCACCTCAGGGGCAGGAGTGTCCTCATCCTGTCAGACAACATGACAGCGGTGGTGTATATAAACAAGCAGGGCGGGGCTCGTTCTCCTCACCTGTGCTTGGAAGCAATTGGCCTGTGGGACCTCTGCATCGGGGCTGATATCCACCCGATGGCTTCGTACCTCCTGGGTTCCCAAAGCGTCCTGGCAGACATGCTGAGCAGATCTTTTGTGGGACACAAATGGTCTCTGAAGTGGGATGTAGCTCAATCTGTCTTCTGTGCATGGGGGTCTCCCCATCTAGACCTATTTGCCACAGGGCGGAACAAGAAGTGCCCTCGGTTCTGCTCTCTCATGGGGCAGGGGCAGGGTTCCCTGGGAGATGCTCTTCTCCTCCCCTGGCTGCAGGGCCTGCTGTTTGCCTTCCCGCCATTCTTGCTAATTCACAGGGTCCTCCTCAGAGTGCGGGAATTTCAGGGCATCCTTGATTCTAATCACCCCCTCATGACCCAGGCAACACTGGTTCTCAACCCTCCTCCACCTGTCATTTGAGAGACCCATGACCCTTCCGCTGCTTCCAGACCTGATATCTCAGGACTCGGACTGGTCCTGCACTTGCTGCACTTGACAGAGTGGAAGCTCCGTGGTTGATGGTGGAGGAGTTTCGGTGCTCAGAACGGGTTCAGGAAGTTCTGCTGGGTAGCAGGAAGCCCTCCATTAGGACCATGTACCTTGCTAAGTGGAGGCAGTTCTGCATCTGGGCTTCCCAGAAGGGGGTGGACCCATGGCGGGCTACAAACTCCCTGATCTTGGGTTACCTGTTGGATCTCAGGCTCCAGGACCTCTCCTCCATCAAGGTTCACTTGGCGGCCATCTCGGCCTTCCACCCAGGGGAAGGGAGGGAAACCCTGTTTGCTAACCCAATGGTCAACAAGTTTCTGAAAGGGTTGGACAGGCTCTACCCACGTGTCCGCCAGCCCATCCCCCAGCGGGACCTAAACCTGGTCCTTTCCAAGCTTATGGGACCCCTGTTCAAACCATTAGCGATGTGCTCCCTCCTATACCTATCTTATAAGGTGTGTCTCCTGGTGGCACTCGTGTCTGCCAGGCAAATATCCGAACTCAGGGCACTTACCTCGGATCCCCCCTATGTGGTGTTTTACAAAGACAAGGTTAGGCTCCACCACCATCTAACTTTTCTGCCCAAGGTGGTGTCTTCTTTCCACACCTCCCAGGATATTTTCCTGCTGGTCTTTTACCCCAAGCCACACGTGTCTGGGAAAGAACCTGCTTTACACACTTTAGATGTGTGTAGGGCACTAGCCTTTTATTTAGACAGGACAAAACCATTCAGGAACTCACCACAACTCTTTGTGGCCATTGCTGAATGGACGAGGGGCCAACCCGTGTCCTCCCAGAGGATCTAGTCCTGGATAGCCACTTGCATCAAGGAGTGCTGTGCCCTGCTGGCAGGGATACCAGCCCCGCCTCTTAGAGCGCACTCCATAAGAGCCGTGGCAGCCTCCACCGCTTTCATGGCGTAGGTTTCTTGGACATCTGCAGAGCCGCGACATGGTCCTCTGTCCATACCTTCGCCAATCACTACACGCTAACACATCAAGCCAGGGAAGATGCTGCCCTGGGCAGGGCGGTCCTCCACTCCTCTGTGGCTTCAACATCCGGCCCTCCTCCATAGGTTCTGCTTTGGAGTCATTTAATTGGAATGCACATGAGCAATCACTTGAAGAAGAAAGAATGGTTACTTACCTCGTAATTGTGATTCTTCGAGATGTTTTGCTCATGTCCATTCCAAATCCCCATCTGTCGCCTTCTCTCCGGAGTATTCCGGTAAGAAGGAACTGAGTGGGTGAAGGGGCCAATGGGTATATATGGGCCGATATATCGGCGTCACTCCAGGGGGCTCTCCTGCTGGCCCTAAGGGTAGTGCTGAGGGAAAAACTTCTGACGGCGCATGCACACTGCACATACACACCTAATTGGAATGGACATGAGAAACTCATCTCGAAGAAATACAATTACAAGGTAAGTAACCGTTCTTTCATACTTTGGACCTTCTCTTTCATTAGCCTTAGGCCCTTCATAATCTTAATCCAGTCCTGTTCACTCTTGCTTTGTTTCCAAAGAATTTTTTTAAATGGTTTAATGAGCGTTAATATTTCAGTTTTGGTTTGCATGTTTGACACAAAAATGTCTTTTATTTTTGAATCCCTGTTCAATGACACAAACATACAACTGTCAAAGAAACACGTTTCACAGGCCCACTCCCATTGCTTACACAAAATGTATATTTAGCAATGATCACTGGCCTGACATTGAGATCTTCAGTAAAATAACTTTTGACCTGACTGTGCATGATCCCAAGTATGGTTCTGTGAGTCCAGTGTACACAGAACAACTGTCAAGGGTAAAACAAGGTCAGTAAAAGTTCTTTCAGTTTTCCTGCTTAGAATGAGAGATTTTGTTGGTTTGACTGGGCATAATGCTCAGGAAAGACCTAATCTACAAAACATGTGCTCAGTTTTTCTTCAAAGTGGTTTCAGAATTACATTTTATCTGCATGTTTCTTGGCTGTCTTAAAATGCATGTCATTTATCTTCTTTGTACACAGAAGCAAACAAAGAAACCAAAGCTGAGGAGCCCAGAAAGAGAGAGACGGTGTCCATGATGTTGACCAAATATTCAGCTTACAATACGTTTCACCACTGTGAGCAGTGCCACCAATACATGGATATTAATCCTGTACCACAGGTTGGTGTCACAGTGATGGGACTAGCTGCACCTTTAATAATCCCTCTCTGGTCTTTCTAAGTGCACCCCCACAGGTATTGAACTTTGGACCATAACCTATCCTAGGATAGGATCATGTGATTCTCTCAGTTTCAGACCAGCACCTGTGATCAACTGAGGTTATGGAAGAGATTTGTCTGCGCTTTGCACTTAAAGTCCTTCCATTTGAGAAGAATACAGCAATGAATAGGGGGACCAGATAGCCTTTTCAACACAAAATATTGTTTGTTCGTAGCAATAGGAATAAAGCATAAGAGAAGAAACATTATGAATACAACAAAAGGTTTGCATGTATGTCTAGCTTGCCTATACCATGCCACCTGCTGTGTGCCTACAGTCAGAGCAGCTGTATGCTCACTCAGATATTTCCTTGTGCAAATAATATTCATGTACTGGAATACCAGTTTGTGCATGCCCGATTTGCACGTATAGTTGTGATTGCACACACAAAACTAGGCACACAATAAAGAGAAGTCATTCAGCTAGTTTCACTTTGGCCCTGATTCAGCAACACACTAAGCATGGGCTTATGTCTCACTAAAATCTGCGAGACTTAACCTGTGCTTTAATGCTTAATCATATGCATACAGTTAAGCACATACTTAAATGAATAAATGTTCAAGTGCTTTGCTGTATAAATGGCAAGAGACAGTGAAACACTTAACAGAGATTTTAAAATGAACAGTGAGAAGGATATTAACTCATGCTGATGATCACCATATCGTTGTAAAAGCTCTTAGTAACAGTTTAAGAAAGAGTTAAAGCCATTAATTGCTAAACAGCAGTGGAAATGGAAGAAGATCACCAAGGTTTTTCTGCAAAAAGTGCTTTTAGGTTTACTACTTTGCTTTTCAGACAGCTTGTAGGCAAACTGATGTTCATAATTTCCAGTTGATTTCAAGGTAGGAAGGACTGAATTGACTGTGTGGAATAAGTGGATCTGTTGTGCATAAATTATGTGTTCTGTGGGGGGTATTTACAGTCCAACATTATTGTGATTTTTCTGAAGCGTTGTCATATTGTGAAACTGATGGTAATTTAAAAGATAATGATTTATATACCTGTGTAATGTGGGTCCCAAAGGATTTCTGAAAGCTTGGCCTTTTAAATACGTTGTGATGGAAACCTGTTTTTGTAGGCCATATGTTTATAAGAAGTGGGTATAGGCCTCTGTCATTCATATTCTCTCTCTCATACATGTATATGTGTGTATTTTTTTTAATGTCCTGGGCAGAGTTTGATAGGTTAGTTTGTTTCCTGGCTAATTTTCCAGTGTTTTGTGTACATTTGTCAATAATTTCTAATGTTAAGCTTTACAGGAGCACAGTTGGTTGGGCCATGTGGCTGGTGTAGGAAGATGATTATGTTATTAGACTAACAATTAGTGCCCAATTAGTTCTGCTGGATAAGGAAAAAATATGACTATAACAAAGACACTTTCAGTTTCCAAAGGAAAATATATTTGCCATTCATTTCTAGCTGCTTCCATCATTTCAAAATGCAATTAAAATTGCCATGCCCCATGTTTCTGTTGATGCGTGGCCTCCATATCTGATTTAGCATGTTGACTGTTTTCTCCCGCTGTTCTCTTGAATACAGATGACTGACTCCACCCTGCATGCATTTACATTCTCCTCCTCAATGTTAGGAGAAGAGATTCAGCTTCATTTTATAATACCCAAGTCCAAGGAGAGCCACTTTGTCTTCAGCAAGCAGGGAAAGCACCTGGAAAGCATGCGTCTCCCTCTTGTGTCGGACAAGGTGGGTGCGCGCCTCTTACATCTTCCTTCTGGCTGCCTACCATGAATCTAGTTGGCTTGCCTGAAAAAGAAATTCCCCCTTTGTCTAATGTCTTCCCATGACCTGTGCATTGGACTGTCCTTAGATTGTGAGCTTCTTGGGGCAAGGATCATTCCTTCTTGACTATCTCAACTAGCATGTCATAGATGCTGCAGTTAATAATAAAAATAATTGTTACTTGGGATATTCTGTTCTTTCTGCTGGAATGGGTCAATCGGTTGACATACTAGTCTTTCTAGAGCGAGTTAAATATTTCCTCTTTGATCTTTCAGCAGAATTTGAATATGGTAAAGAGTCCTATCTTCACTCCTTCAAGCGGCCGCCATGAGCATGGCCTCTTGAACCTTTATCATGCTATGGAAGGCATCAGTCACCTTCACCTCCTAGTGGTCAAGGAGTATGAAATGCCGCTCTACCGTAAATACTGGCCCAACCACATCATGCTGGTCCTGCCGGGCATGTTTAACAATGCTGGAGTTGGTAAGTGGCACTGGCAATGTATTACAATGAAATCAGGGGGTTTTAAACTTGTTTTACGATATGGCCTACACCTGGATAGAGAACTCAGTGCCTGCCCTTCTTGTCATGATCACAGAAAACATAATTTCAGCAGTTGCATGCATGTGATTGTTTAGAAAGATATATTAGAGAAATATTTAATATATTTTTAACTCCCTATAATGCAATATTTGTTTTCTCCTTTTTGAACTTAGTTAATCAAACTATCTGCTTCTGCTCTTCATTTCTTCCATGGCCAATCAGAATTTTCTGTTTCCTCTCTTCTTTTGCATCTTGCACGGGCTTCTGTCCTCCGTGGTCCCTTTCTCAACATAACTCTTTATATTTTTTCCTGTGGCCTGTTTTTTTTATTGCCCTTGCATGTTTCTCTGCTGCTCAGTCATCTTCCCTCCATACTCCACAGAACCAGTCTCATTTAGTCATTCTTATCCTGACCGCAACTCCTGGTCCACCAGTGATTGTTTCCTGTTAATCCATAGTTTTTGAAAAGATCAAGTTTGAGAATTGCAAGGGATGGGACTATTTAACAAGATGAAACTGCCACTGTAGGTTCAGGAAGGTAAATTGAACTTGAACTTTAGGTCCAGCCCTGTTGGAGGTTGAACTCTTCCCGTAAAGGATTGAGTTCCTCCAACTCACATGAGATGACGCTAATAGGTGGCTGGGGGAGGCTGCCCTCTCTTCCCCCCAAAAGGCTGGCCATGCAGGTGGTAAACTGCTAGAGATGTGATGCCTTCCCTTGGAGGCCTGCCAGCCTGCTGCCTTGGGAGCACCGGAAGTGAAGCTCCCTAGAAGGGAGGGAGAGGACAATAGCCCCATCCCCACTCCGCCTCGTCCCCTGAAGCCTGCCCACCACTCTCTCCTCTGACATGGAGAGGAGCAATTGGTGGGTGAGCATCAGGGCGAGAGGTACAGAGGAAAATGCCAGGCGGGATGGCCTTGGGCAGTAGAGGGTCATTCATGGATGCCAAGCCGGGGGGGCCTTTAGGGGGAAGAAGTGCAGAGCCATGGGTGCCAGGTGGGGCTGAGGGGCTTTGGGGAGAGAGGCCCAGAGGTGTAAGCACTGGGCAGGGGAAGAGATGGAGAGGATGTGGATGGGGGACATAGAGGAGGGAACAAAGCAGGGGGTGGGAAGAAGTGGCTGCTCCTCCCCCTCTCCCCACTTCTACGGTGTTTCTGGAGCTTGGTGTGTAACCCTCCCCAAATGGTCAGTACTCTGCCTATACTCTTTCTTGGTTCAAATTACTCTTAAAATGCCCTATGTTTCTTTGCGCCCACACAAAGTGGTTGTGAAATAAACAGAAAAATCAGCAACCCTAACTCATCCTCACTGCATTTTCTAACTTCTCTGTATCTGACTCTTACATGTTCCCTATCCCAAAGGGGGTATAATCTTTCTTTTTGTAGATTGGGCAATGCCAAACACACTGGCACTAATAAATAATATTTGAAGATGCCCGCTGAGGGTATGTCTAGACTACAGCCATTTTTTCCAACAAAACTCGTGTAACGTCCACACTGCAAGCACGTTCTTTCGATAGTAAATCGAAAGAACAGAGGAGTTTCTGCACAATTGTTACTTCTCTTTCTACAAGGAAGAAGCCTTTTTGCGAAAGAGCTCTTTTGGAAAAAGGCTTGTGTGGAAGGGGAGGAGGGCTTTTTTTTTTTTTTTTGCAAGAAGAGGCCTCCAGGATAAAGCACAGGTGCCCTAGTGGCCACTCCATATCAACTAATCACATCTCTATAGTTCCTGTCTCCTGGCCCCTCTTAAAGCTGCAGGCACCCTGGACAAGCCTTCTGGCAGGAAGCTGTCCAGAGAGCAGCACCTGACTGCGTGACTCTCCCTGCCACAGGCCAGGATACTGTTGGCCAAGCGTCAAGCCCCCTGCAACCCTCCTGGCCTTGCAAGGGAGCAACAGGTGGGGTCCCCAGACCCCCCTAGGTGGACGAAGAGGTGCACCCTGACGTGGTCTGGCCTGGAGATAAGAGTCCCTCCTCAAATTGTGGGGCGAGGAGAAGACTCTCCAAGATCCCCAGGCCAAAAGGTGGAATCTGGACATTTATACCCAGATGGCTGCGTCCCTGGCAGAGCAGGGACACCCAGCCTGGACCATGCATCAGGTCCGGAGCAAAGTCAAGGAGCTCCACCAGGGATATGTCCGTGCAACAGAGTGCAGCTCGCTCTCCATGGCAGGATGCCACACCTGCCCTTACTACCAGGAGCTGCACCACATCCTGGGGGGTAGGGAAACATCTTCCCCACCTATCCTGGTGGACTCTGGGGTCAAGACCCCCATAGTTGTCTGGCCAGAGGTCACCCCGGAGGAGGAGCAGGAGGGCCAGGGCCAGCCAGAGGAGGAGGAGACCATCACCCTGTCCTGGGAGTTGGTGCAGGTCAGCCAGGATGTCTCCCAGGCCTCCTCGGATGCCTGAGAGGGATCTTCAGGTGAGTTGTCTCACACACAGGGCACGGGAGACGGGCGCACATGGAGTGGGGGGCGGGTGTCGCTTGGGCTGCACATCGTGCTCCGATCCGTGCATGTGCAGCGTGAGTGGCATATGGACACATCAGGCAGCCCCTGAACACGCCTGGGATCCTGCTGCCAGGCTCAGAGGAGGCCCCACACGTCCTTCCCCTGGGGGAGGGGCGCACCCGGCTGAAAGCAGGCTAGCCACAAGGGCACAGGCACGACCCCACGCAGACCAAGGAGTGCCACACACAGGCAACAGGCATGCCTGCACATGCAAGGCAACAGCCGCTCTCACTGACAGCACAGCAAGTCGCAGCGGTGTGCGCACATC